CATTCAGAGTCTGCTCCAATTTCTGAAGTCCTACCTTCCTATATGCTGGGTCCCTGTTGGCTGTCCTCTGTGCTCTTCCACAGATCGGTCCAGTTTTTATCCAGTGAGTGTGGGGGAAGTGAAATCCTGTGTCTTACTCTGCCACCATCTTCCCAAAGAGCCCTTATTTTGAATTCTTTATCTGATAATTTGGTTTCCTCTATTTCTCTTAGCTCTTTTAGTGGCAAGTCTTCCATTTCTTTTGATTGTATGTTCTTTTTTTTGTCTCCCCATTTTTGGTGACTCTTTTTGTTTGTTTCCGAGCTTCCTGATGTTTCCCTTTGCTAGTTGTTTACATTGTATGGTGAACCTCTATGCTAGGAATTCTATGGGGTTCAGTGGTGTGGTCTCTTTGATCCCTTGTCTGGACACTCTAGGTTTTCCCTTTCTTATATTTGTGTGGCCTCTTTTGTTTTACTTGTTTTTTTTACCTTCTGGTGGTTCCTTTATTGGTGGTTTTTCTCCTTCAGCAGTTATACTGATGTTCACGGCTTCCACTTATTCTTGTATGTGATCAGTGTCAGGGGGTAGGCAAAATGGATTAAGACAGCAGGGGAGTATTTTATGGTGTTTAAAGTACTGGCAAGTAGAGAAGAGATAGGAGATTCTCTGGATAAGGATAGCATTAACTGTGATATTTCACCCAAGTAGCCAATTTTTATAAAAGGTGAAAGAGAGATAGACTCTTGTTAGAGGGGAGAATGATTGTGAGCTGAATGTAGAAAATGGAACACTTGTGCAATGTTAGATGATGAGATATAGTGAGATAAAAGGATAGAAATTAGGTGTAGTCTCAGAAAAAAAAAGAGTTAAGCATAACAATAATAATGTTCAGGATTAAATTAAAGTGGGCTGAGATTTTGGAGGGTTGCTGTGTAGTATCTACAATTGTGTGGAACAACAATCATTTACAATAGTTCTGGAACAACAATAATATGACAAGAAATATATAATTTGGATAAAAAATACAAAGTACATGATCAAGAGTTGTGTGTTATTGGAACATGAGTGAAGTGAAAGAAGGAAAATTAAAATGCAATGCAATTTTAAAATTAAAATTTTCTCTTTATTAAGAGAGAATAAGGAAAACCTGTCAAGCAATGCAATTAAACAGAGACATAAAACAAAGAAAACTAAACATAAGGAAGAGAAATGTTTTAAATACTAATAAAATAAAAGTGGTAAAAAATAATAATACACATAAACAATAACATGCTAGCTGTATGGGATAGCAAAGTGACATTTGTCTCAGTTTCTCAGTTTTTGGCTTTAGCCATGTGCTCCCCCTTTTATCCTGTCTCTGGACCCTTCGCAACTCCAAGTCTTATTGTCTCACTTGGGGGAAGATTAAAAGGGGGGAAAAGATGAAGGAACTAAGAGAAAAAATGATAAGCCTTCTGCTGACTTTAAACCTGTTCAGAACGTTCTTCTGGTCTTCCTAGATGTATCAAGAAGAGGGGGGCTGAGTTGGCCTTTCTCCCTTTCTATGGTTTTGAGAGGATGGGGACCAGTTCTGGGCCACAATATTCACAGTGTCCCAGCCTTAGTCCCAGGTTATTTATGAGCTGCCAGGCTCAAATCAGCTGCTCAGCTGCGCACAGTGCGAGACAAGGAGGGTGCTCAGTTCCACCGGCCCACTCAACCTCTGGGCGTGCAGAGCTGAAATCACCCTCAGGAAGAGCCAGCCACTGCTCCAGAGTTCCTTGCGAAGTAACTGCCTGCTGTTCTTAACAAGCACACAGCTTTCACATGGTCCAACTTTCCAACCAGTCAGGAGACGATCTGAGTCAGGATCTGAGACAGCCCAACTCCTCCCTTCTCCAGGTTCACCTAGCACCTCAATTTCTCTGGTGCCAGAGTCCACAGACCCAGAGGATATGTATTGCCTTCGTGTGTCTCCTACTTCATTTCTATTCTCCCCAGTAACTTCCAGCATCCAGGTCCCTCCTGTTACCAGTCTGCCCTCCCTGGTCCGATAGGGGAGGGAGCTGGTGATCTAACTGTCCTCCCCATATTCTGTGGCAGGTGCTGGGTGGGAGGCTGCAGCTGCTCTCATCCCAGAGCAGAACCCTGGGACCTTAATGTCCCAGTGCAATCTCCTCACTGTCTGTTTTTCAATGCCCTCTGCAATTTTTGGCCTCCAAACTTCATATAAACTGGGATTCTGTTGGCTGTTCACTCTGTTCCTCAGACAATTAGCTAAGTGTTCCAGCTGGGCACAGGGAGAACTGGGCTCCACTCCCACCTACCTCCTGCCATCTTCTGAATATTTGCTTTGGATCTTGAAGGATGAGGGATATTTACCTGGAAGGTATATTTCATGGTAGTGACTGGACTGAAATTGTGAACTGAGACAGCAAAATAGTACACTTTGAAATGTGGACTGCATATAGAATGTAATTTTCTTTATATTTCAATAAATTATCTTTTCTTTATATATTATTTTTTTTCTTTTCCATCAGAAGCTACTATATCCTATAAACTGTATTAAGGCTACATCTATAAAGTTAATTTAGCTATTAATTTCCTTAATGTGCTATTTTAAAACTCCAACAAAAATAATTTCAATAGGGTTAAATATTCTCCAATATCTTAAAAATATACATTAATTAAAATTTATCAGAAAAACAATGTACCTAGGATTAAATATTAATACTACCCAACTTTATGGAAGAAATGCAAGATGGAAACTACCCATTGTAAAAATAATGAAATGTAGGTATTTGAATATATGTGTCTGTATTTACTTAATTCTTTCCAGAGAAACACAAACCAATCAGGTATATCAGAAAACTTCCTGTATACCTTACAATGTTAGTGAAATTGTCACTGTAAATACATATGCTCTCAAACTTAAAAATTGATGTTGTCTTGGTAACAGGAACTGTATTACCTCTCAGAAGCAATGTGATTGATATTTCTGATATCTGTCCATGAAAGACTAGTTAACTGTACCAGGACATACTGCTAATGGTCCTAGGATTTGTGTCTGTCTCCACAGTCTAGAAAATTATTGTTATTCACACATCTACCCATGGTAAGGATTAGCATGTTTATGCACACCAGCTCAGAATATCTGGGTTCTAGCACCCACACTCTAATGTCTACTTCTCTGGCCCTAGGCAAATTATTTAGCCCCAGCATAATTGAGTTTCCTTATCTGTTCAATAAATTGCAGTAAGTCATGGACCTCCCTGACATTTTACAATAAAACAAATGTGTGATAGTATATTTTTTCAGGAGACATTTGGGGTCTACCAGTTAGAGTTCCTGATCGTAAACAATGGAAACCAACTTTATTAACTGGCATGAGAAAGGATTTTATTAGAAGTGTTTAGATTCAGAATGCAATTTTGGACAATCAGCTCATGAAGCACACCAGGGAAGCAGGGTACTGCCAAGAACCAGCCCCTCTGCCATCACTTTTGAACTCCAGCCACTGTGTGCCAAGTTCCATTGCTCCTAGATACCCACACTATGCTGTTTAATAGGCCCTGTGCCTTTGCAGACACCCTCAAAAATCAAAGCTCTGCCAAGAGTGTCTGGTGTGTCCCTGTTTTTTCTGCCAGGTCATAGGAAGATGGAATGCCACTGGGCCAGAAAAAGGGCTCTGTCTTCTACTGAATTTGGAACTGCCTCCAAGTAAAAAGAGAGACTGGTTGAAGGGCAGCCAGTACAACAGTATCTATTGCCTTATCTTTCACTAGCTTCTCAAAGGGATCATGATCCCAACACTTCTTCCTGAAAAAACTATGAATCACTGCATTAGATTATCTTTAATTACAACTCTGAAATTATATGATTCTAAATACTAATTTTCGTTTCTTCCATTATCTACAAACTAAGAGTTTCTTTACCAAGCGCAAATGCGTCAACAGAAAGACTAACAGCATTGTGGGGTCAGCCCTGAAGCATCCCATAATCACTTCAGTGGGTGTGCAATTATGATGGTTGGGCTAATGATAGAGAGTAACAGATGTCTCACAGTAGACACCCAGCTGAATTTTTGGCAAACCAGCACAAATTCCTCAAAAAGAATGTACTTTTTCATACAGTCTTCTGGTGCTGTGTTGTGAGTTTATTAAAGTGTGGTATGGCTCAATAATTAGATATTCACATTTTAAGATGAATGAGAATGGATATAAATTTAAATCTGTTCCTTTTGAGCTGAATTACCATGGGAAGTAACTTGGCCTCAGTATGCGTCCATTTCCTGTTTAGTAAAATGATAGCTGCAATTCTAGTCAATGAGTGGTGTTATGAAAGCAAAATGATGGAATTAAAAGAATTATAAAGTTTGACACATAGTTACAACTCAAGAAATCATGATGAAAGTTATAATGATAAGTAATTCCCAAACCTATGAAAAAATTCATTCCAAAAATTGTTTATACTTTTAATTTTTAAGTCAAGAATGATAAAGATACTTAGGTCATATGGCTTGACATATGTTCTGTGTTAAAGTGTGTTTTATAAACTATAAAACTGATGCCAAATAATCACTAAAATATCATGTTGCAATATATGAATTAACATTTTTATTTATGTGGTAGATACACCTAAAAATATTTTTAAATGACCACATTATGCTAAATTATGTCAAAATATATAAAATTGATTCAGTTACATTAAATGGTACCACCAAACTAAGTTGAATATGAAATGTACAGTGTTTAATAGCTGAATTAATGTTCAAAGATGAATGAAACAAAAAGGTAGAAAGTAGTAAATGTAAATGATTTCTGAGCCAGCAATTGTCACTTTCACTCTCAACCACCTTGGCATTTGTGTTTGATCTTCAACTTATTGTTGGCAGGTAAGAAAAGTTATTTGCTGTACAAGAATCCTGCATAGCCTAGACCCTTGGGAGGTCTGGGTTTAATAGTGTGGTTATTCCCTTTGAAAACCTTGCTGGTTCTGTGAGTCTCCTAGTGAATATGCTGTCTCTTTGTATTTTGTAGGTAAATGTGAATGTGGAAAATGCACTTGCTACCCCCCAGGAGATCGCAGGGTATATGGGAAGACGTGTGAGTGTGACGATCGCCGCTGTGAAGACCTCAACAGTGTAGTCTGTGGAGGTGAGGAAATTAACAGCTTTCTGCTACTGTGTGCAACTTGCTTCACCTGCCTTTCTTATTCTACTTATCCCTTTTTAAAAAATCCATTAAAAAGAAATTAAACACAAATTAATACACAATCAGACCTAAAACATTATACAGTTAGGTTTGTAATGACCTTTATATTCTTGGACTCTGGGACCCAAAAAACAGCTTACTGAAAGTAACAAACTGTGCCAAGAGCCCTGGATAGGTGATTCAGTTGGTTGGAGCTCCTGTACATCAAAATGTTACAGGTTTGATTCTGGTCAGGGCACATACCTAGGTTGCAGTTTGATGCCTGGTCAGGGTATATATGGGGGGAAACCAATCAACGTTTCTCTCTTACATCAGTGTTTCCCTCTCTTTCTCTCTCTCCCTTTCTGTCTCTGAAAAATCAATAAAATATTCTTGAATGAGGATTATATTTTTTAAAAAGTGTATGAAGAAAGAATGGAGCTAATAGCAGGTATTCAGTAAACATAACACAGCAAAACAGAGTTATAGAAGTAGATGGTTGACAGTTTTTACCTGATCTTCATCTAGAAGAGGGAATGGGAGTCAATATTATTTATTATTCTCTTAGTTAGATTTTATGACATCTGATATTGTACAGATGATTCATGCTGATTACAGCTCCTTCCAGGCTTCCAGTACCTGAGTTGAACTGGATGTAAAGTCAGACTAACAGAATATATAATAACTATGCCTTTTCAAGATAATTATCATAATGCTATTGAGCACTTTGGTGGAAAGAACAAAATGCAGGTATAATTTATGAAATGCAGGGACGCTATTGTTACCATCTATCTAATATCCATGTGTATCTATCTACTCTCTTTCTAACCAACTATAATCACTTGGAATTTGACCAAAAGTTTTTTATTTCTTTTGTTTGAGAGCCAAGGGAAAGGCCCGTTTTAACAACCATTGTACCAGGTGGTTTATTTCATGCAGTTCTCATGGCAGCCACCTTAAGCAACTTCTCCTGCTTTTTCCATCCTGCAAGTGGAAAAGTGAGTGAGGCTTGTGCTGTTAATGTCCCATCACTAAAAAGTGGCAGACCCGGGATTTGAACACTTGATGTTCAGTTCACATATCTTTCCCTACATTATACTTTTCCCCAGAGTGACATTAAACTCTTTTGACTTTATTTCAACATTACTTTTAGTTTAGATGGTCCCTTCAATGGTATTAGTTACCAGAAATACCTAAGCAGATAATAATCTTTTTGTTAAGTACATTATCTATCTGTATTGGCTCATTTAATTCTCACAATGCTATATATAAAGTCTGCCTGGCACCTAAGAAAGCCATATACATGTCTTTTATCACCATTATCATTTTCTCTGACATGCAGTGTCTACCTCACATGGGTCTCCCTGCCCATCTACTTTGGTGATTTGGTTGAAATTGGTTAATATTATAGAAACCTACTACATCAATATATCCTTTAACATTCCATGAAGTAGGTTATTTGCTTTCCTTGTTACTTACTTCTTAATCTCTTCTTGTGATGGTTAATCCTATTGTTTAGAGTGAGAGTTCAGGAGGGAGAGGGTGAAATATCCTCACGCTCATGTGTATGCTAAAGAACTTATAGCTAGAAAAACTATATAAAATTTACAACCCACACAGACACTCTGTTTAGTATTCCTCAACAAGAATAGGCCCCAGATGTAGTCAATTATTACCATTTGTGGTAGCTACAGTCTGTAAAGTCATCATGAAAACTGAATTAGTGGATACTGAATCACTGCTCCTATGGGAAATATAAGAGTAAGGTCCTGCCTCTGGTCACAACATATTCGTGAGGAGATCAATAATACATAAACTTGCTTTATGTGTTCTGTTCAGAGATATCTTGTGTAATATTTAGTTGACTCATTAACATTGAACTCATGGCCAAAAGCCCTATAATTTATGCCTGAACAAAGATTATGTGACATGTTTTTTCCATAAGCACATCATAGCTCTCTTGTAGTCAGGAACACTGGATAACACTTCAGCACTATAGTTAGGGGCTATCTTAAACATAAAAATCACTAACAAAATGCACAAAAATGTTAAAAGCAGGACACTAAATATACTGCAGAAAGGACACTATTTTACAGCTTTAGAGCTGAAATAGAAGGCAGAGTGTGACCTTCTTTGATGTTAGGTTGTAATGTAAACCTTAGTCAACTCTTTTTTTTTTTTTTTGCTATTCTTTCTGTGTTCACAAATGTTCTGGAAAGCTTAACAAGTATTTATTACAAATACATTTTAGGGAGTAAGAAAATTTTCGAACATAGGATCTGTGAATAATGAGGATTCACTGTAATTCACCTCAAACCTCACTAGAAATATCACTTCCCACTTTCGCTTTGCACTTGGCCTCAAATTGTGATTTTTTAACAACAGATAATAAAGGTACTGTGATTTTAATTCTTCTCTTTTCTGTACATTGTTTCATAGAAGGAATTATATGAGCCCTAACTATTACAGTTTTAAATTTTGTTTATGTCTCGGCTGTTTCCTATAAGGAACATTCAAGAAACATATCATTAATTAACATATTTGATCCTGTAGTAATGTTATTAAAGTATACAACATAGTTAACCAATTGATAAAGAAATCACAAGTTCCCATGCATTTCATGAATGTTTATATAAATGTATTTTATATTTAAAAATGTAAAATGTCAATACAGTACAGTAGTTAAGATGATAAACTAAAGGGAGTTTATCTTGATTCCAACCCTATCTATGCCATTTACTACCTGATTCGAGGAAATTTATATAACCCCCATTTTTATCTATAAAAGGATGATCATACTGACAGCTATCTTGTAGGGTTTTGTGAGGTTAAATAAGTTAGGATAGTATCAGGTACATAGTGTCATATATATATACACATAGATATTATCATAATTATATGTATATATGTGTATATATATATGTGTATATATATATATATATATATATAGAGAGAGAGAGAGAGAGAGAGAGAGAACTTGCTCAGGCAGAAATTTATGCTGTGGTCTACTGTTACTTCTATGAGATATATGACAGAGGTCCATAATTGCTTGTCTGTGACTTTTGTAACAATGTATTTGGAACTTTGATGGGCTGGACTTTGATTCTGCATGGCATTGATGATTTCTCCTTTTTGGTATTTGTCCTCAGATTTGACATTGAACTATCAAATCAAAGCGGCTGTCATTCATCTCAGAGATAGTTTTAGTGTTTCTTACTCTGCAGTGGATCTGCCCAAGCAGGGAGGAGTAAAATTAAGAAAATATCATCCATTAGTATTCCTTAAATCAAAATATTCCAGTATTTCTTACTCTATGAAAAAATACCCATTATCATAAAGAAGCCTCTCATTATTTAGTAATACCCTTTTATGTAGATAGCACATAGTGTAATCAAACCAGCAAATACTTATTGAATACTTATTTCATGTAAAGCCCTTCGGTGTCTTTCAAATTCACACACGTCCTTAAATATTTTTGGTTGCTTGATATCACTACCTCTGACCCATATGGTAGCATTTCTCTTGGTTCAATTTCAAACCCATGGAAAGTTGCTATATGAACAACCATTCCACATAACCAACTCTCCCTTTTTGAATAATTCCTAGTTGCCCAAATCCTTGGTGATTTTCATTTCTTATTCTACATGACTACTTTTAAGCATAGAATTGTAGTTACTTTACTCTGAAACCCCAATAAATTGTCTTCCTCCTGGGCCTCAGAAATAACCTCCCCATCCATTTCTTCTCAGACTTTTTCTTTAACCACTTAATTTTTTATTCTTACCCATCTTCCAGAGCTTGGCATTTCCCTTGAAATGACTCTTGGATGTCATTTCTGCTTGCTATTTGCTGCCCTTGAGTATTAGCTTATTCCACTCTCATCTTTAGAGCAGTGTCTCCCAAGATGCTTAGCATCATTCCCCCTGACACCAAACTCTTCTTTTAAAATTCTAATTAAGTATTTTATATGGAAATTTCACGTTTTTCATGGTTAAAATAATTATTTATTTATTCATTAATTCAACAAATATTTACTGAGTCCCTGATATATGCCAGCAGTGGAGATTCAGTGGTGAATCTACTGAAGTTGATAATTAAGCATGAAAGGCAGACATTGAATAAAGGGATGACAATGAGGTGAGTGATCTGAAAGGAGAAATGCCAGTTCAGTGGGAACAAGCGTAATAGTGGAATTTAATAGACTGGAGTTAAGGAAGTCTTCTCTGATGTCTTCATATCTGGGTGATGTTTATATGGTGCATAATATGTGCTTTACACATATTAAAAAGATAGGCATCACACAAACATACTTTGCAGTAATAGGATGCACAGAACTTAGGTGACGAAAGGTGAATGTGACAGTAGTCAGAGAGAATAGTGTGTTTCAAGGAGCATGGGACACTGGGAGAGTTACATGTTCAAGAAACTTTTGTGAACCAGGGAGAAACTGTATTGATTGGAGATTATAAAGCAAAGGGGAAAAGGGTGTGACATGGTTTATAAACCATAATAATAATTTGGGGCTTCACTCAAAGAATGATTGGAAGCCATAGAAGGGGTTTAAATAAGGCAATAACACAATCACTTTATTTATGAAGTGCCTTTGTGCACCAGGTGAAATAGTTCAATATAAATTGCTGGGATATGCTTGTGAGGTGTGGGTGAATATGGGTTAATCATAGTGAGAGATGAGGGCGGTATAGCTAAATGGAAGTTAGTAGAGTAGAAAAGGTATTAGATATATTAGAGAAAGTATTAGAAACAATATAGACCATTGGCTAACAAAACTCCTTACCTTGTATCAAAAACATTTAACCTGTTAAACTCTTAGCTGTGTTTCCTGGCAACAGATGAAGATGGTATATGCCAATATTACCAGGAAGCATTGCTCATGGTAATAATGACCTATGATTGACAAATTTCAACTGCGTGGGAAGGGATGATGAATGTCTGATGGGAATGCC